TAGATGATTTTTCAGTATGGTAGAAGCATGCCAACTGATTTATACGCTAACCTGTGATGAAGCCGAGGATGGTGCAGTAAAGGAGGAGGGAAGGTGTAAGCAAGAAGAGGCGAGATTGTGTACGACGACGACGGAGGGCGGAGAAGAGGATGGGGATGAGCAGGAAAGGGAAGCCAGCAGTTTGCAGGAACCCAGAGAACCACTTGCGATCGCCACCATGAAGGAAGTAAGCTCGCAGAATGAGGGGGCTACTGGTGCCACCAATAAGGAGCAGGAGGACGTTGAGTGAGAGGAGGATGAGTCTCTTCACTTTGGGCGTTCTAAGGGCTTCCAAAAAAGTACTTTTTTTACTGGAATGAAGGATTTCTTCATGGCTTTGGTGTTCCATCTCCATGGCTCTCTGTACTGCTTATCTGATTCTTTAAGATGTAGAGAAAGCTATTTATAAAAGTTGTCTGGCCGGTCAGAATATGTAAGCTGTTTTTGCAGAATTGTCTCCGTCAAAGCTGAACAAATTTGCAGTTTCTGAATCATTATAGGTTGATAAGAACCATTAATTAATTTTGTATAGACTGGTTCGTCTCGACGTGTTGAAGTAAGTAATAGATGCGTCTGCAATCATCCATGCATGGCTGGTTTGGTTCTTTATGGGATTGTAGAAGACAGTAAATCTTTGGCTATAGGATATGATGGTTGAAGGACGGTGAGTTCTGTGTAATTTATTTAATTTGCCTGCCATTTGATTGTGTAAACTAGTTGAGTTTGGGAGGTCATATGTTATTTGACTTAACTTGTTATGTAAAATTCGCTTAAATTAATTTATTGTTTGTATATAATTAATGGTTATTTGTTTTGATGTATTTTGAGTATAGAGTAAAATAAATGTAAGGATTTTAAATTGTAAGGTATTTGATTTGTGAGAGAAATAAATGTAATATCACATAGAGTTAATTTTTAGTTTATCTCAAATTTGCTCAAACTAGGCACACTACATGATAATCGCGTATTTCCGGCGGATTTTTCAGAGGAAAATTCAGAATTTTCTAGCAGATTTCAAAATTTTCCATCGAGATTTCGGAGAAACATTTTCGATGGTAAATAGAGTGTCTTTTTTTTTAGAAATTTTTAAATTCGCCAAAAAATATTCCACAGGAAAGCCGCTTGAAAATCCACCGGTAACGGACAATTTTTCTGTAGCGGCAAGTTTAGAATACAAAAGCTCGCTCGAAACCCCATAAAGCCTCGCAAACCCTGAGACCCTCATCGTCACGCCGGCTCCACAAACTCACAACCTCACCTATTTAAACCCTCGTTCTTGTTGTCATTGATCTCATCGCCCTAATCGCCATCCACATTCAAAAGTGAGTTTTTATCTTTTTGAATTTCATCAAAATAAACTTTAAAATTTATTTTTGTGCACTTGATTTACATTTAACCAAAATACACTGCATTTAATATACATCCAGTCAAATAGTCTCTTAATTTATTTGTTTATATATTGAACCAAAAATAGTTCTTCACAAACTAGAAGTCTATAGCCCCCCTTCACTCATAGCTCTTTCTCACGACAAATTATTAGGTCAGGTCACTGGACGTGTTCGGAGCCCAAAGAAAATGCGCCACATCACCTCCTACTAGGTACTGAGCAGTACTTGGTACTGCTCAGTTCCCTGCTCAATATTGCTCAATACACAGTACTTCATAGTACCGAGCTCAATACTGCTCGGTACTGTGAATACCGAATGTAAGTTGTGTTCGGTGTCCAAACCCAATAATCTCTCATTTCTCACAAGTCTCCATCCACTGATACCTCTATTGTGGAAGCACTGAGACCTCATTTTAAGCAAGTTCCAGATTTTGCATTGGGGATTTCCTTAAGCAGATTGATGTACCAATACTATATTAGCGAATGGATATGATCTCATGACAAACAATCTTATACCACCCATACATTTGATCACAAAATTCGGTTTTTGGCTTTTTTTTCTTGTGCTGCATAATTGCAGCAGTTTAATCGTTGCTATCTTCAATAATTGTTGCAAGTATAATCGTTACTAAACTACAGAATTATTGCGGTTTTAACTGCTGCTAATCTCCAGATTTGAAGAGCTTCATAAACCGCTGGAGAAGGCTCTCCTAGTGAATACAAATGCAGTGTATTGCAACGGGCATTAAACCGCTGCAATGATTTTTGTAGCATTTTAAATCGCTACAGTTAATACAAAAAAGCACTGCTAAAAGCCCAATTTAATTGTAGTGATATATATTACTTAGTCCTCTCTCTCTCTCTCTCTGTGTGGAGTGTCATTAGCTGCATCTTCATGATGTTATTGATCTTTCTTTTTTTTTCAATTAATTTCTTAAGTCAATTTAGTAGTTTTGACTGTTTTTTTTTTTCCAAAAGAAAATTTCAATATATAGAAAGAGCATTATACCACCTGATCATATTATGGCCACAAATAGTAGATTACATCCAGAGAAGTAATAGTCAGCAGGTCCAACATCAAAATGGGCAAGATAAAAATGACATGCACCCTCAAAACAATCGGACTTAGACTGTTGTTGACCTTATTTTTCACAAAATGCCTAGGTCAAAGGGTTGGCTTGATCAAATCGACCAAGCCAGGTCCTAAGACCTCTCCCATTCAACTCAGTGGGTCAAATTGAATTTGTCGAGCCCAAACTCGGGCCCTGGGTCAACCTGTATTGACCCAAACCACTTCTATTTGATCTCAAATTAAATTCAGAGCTGCTCAAGCTCATTTCTCTCCTCCCTTGGACTCAGTGAGTCAGACCCAACCTACTGGGCCCAAGCCCATGCTCAGGTCAACCCAGTTGACCAGGTTGACCCATTTAGTCCATTTAAGCTCAAATCAATTTTAAATCAGTTCAAACCTTCCTTAGACCCAAACCCCCCATCATTTGGGTATAATTGACTTGGTCGACCAAGTCAACCCTTGACTTGGTCAACCCAAGTTTCTCTTGGTCAAATTTGACTTATTTAAGTCAAATTAATAGTATTTAATGCCTTAAACACTTTCCTTTTGCTCTCTAATGCAAATCCCATCCTATTTGAGCTCAAAACCCTGCTAATTTACTCGATTGAATCCTAGCCGTCCCCCCCCTTGAGCCCAAGCCTATAAATAAGAAAATCTAGGGTTTCTTATGGACCTTTTGCTTTGTTTTCTCTTCCTAAGCGCTCTAAGCTCGAGATCTCTTGTGCTTGAGCTCCCATCACCTCTCTCCACCTCCCCCAAGCCAAAGTCGTCGTTTAAACCTCGCCCGGCCAACCTTTTTGTATTTCCCGAGGCTATTTCTCTTCCAAGATGATTTCTGTTCAATTGAAGGCATTTCGAAGCTCGAGATCAACTAAGGAATTGTACGTGAACAATCTACAAGTGTAACAAGCCGAAGATCTCCCAAATCCACCGTGTGGATTAGGTAAAATAGCAAACCCTAGCTTAGAACACTTAGATTTAAATAATTTTTCATACAATGCATATTAGAATGTGATTTTTCTTCCCCATGAATGTTCTTCATATGTAGGACTTAATTCTAAAATTTCATATCATTTATTTCATCCAATAGAAAAAAAATGAAGCGAAACATGTTTTTAGGGTTTAGTTTACGTAAATCGAAGGCTACGCAAGATCCAGACCGTCGATCGTGCGATCAATGGCCCAGATCTGCTTGTTTCGTAGTTTTATTCGAACCACGAGATCAATCCCGTGGTCTCACTCTCGGTCCAATTTCCCCACACCAAAGCTCAGAAACCCTAACACCCTCCACCCTCGAAACATCAACCGACCCGCAAGGAGCAACCCCAGCATCAACATTACAATCAGTTGCTAGGTGCTAGTTAATTTTTCAAATGACAGAGAGCACAGCATCGGGGCACCAGAAAACATAACATAGTGACTTTCCAAGGGAAAATTTTCATATTTCACAAACATGCATTCAAATCCCTGAAACTCACTCCAAAGCACATATAGAACTCTTTCATACATATTGATCATTTTCGATCATCTTCAAACACATTCAAAAGAGTTGAAAACATCGAGATTCAAAAAATTACCTCTTTCAGATCGGGTCAAAATAGGTTAAACTGAATACTAAATCTAAAGGTGTAGAGAGAAGCTATAATGAAACCTTATATATAAAGGCCTTGGGGTCTCATTCACATTTCAAGACATCAGAGAAAGTTGAACTACATAAGGAAGGGCAGTGTTATCCTATATTAGATTTCGATGAATGTTGATTCCCATATGTTCAGGTGCGGAGATATATATGAATTTTTTTATTTATTGGGGCTTAACTCATACTTTTAAAAATAACTTTACTTTTTTACCATTCAAGTTTTACACTAATATTGATGATGTTTAAAATTATACTAAATAAGAGTGTCACTACAACTAAAAATATCTTAAGATTCAAAAAATAAGGATGGTATATCTTAATACATTGAATATGATATCGTTCTTTTTTAAATGAATATAGAAAAATTTTGTGAACCCTAAATTCGACATGTTTACTTGTACAATTCTCTCAATCGAAGATTATTCAACATTTTATCAGATTTTTTTTAGAGTATTTATATTTTTATTTTTGTATATAATTAATCACATAATCATGCATGTTCCTATATAAATAAAGTATGATTTTACAAGGCTTTCACCACATTTGATGTTTCCCATATTATCAAGATCATACATTGTGACATACAAAAAGTTATGTAGGAATGTTGATCATGTGAAGTGATTTATTATATGTGGATTTTCTCATACTAGCATTAGTTAGATCATGCAAGAGAAAATTTAAGTGTTTTAATTACATGCATAAGACTTGTATGTGATGTTGTGTTCGGTTTATAAGTGTTTTTAATTACTAATAAGTAATAATTACACATATTACTACATTGACAAAATAATTAATCATTTTTAACAAAATAAGAGCTACATACAACCGAATTATATTCCAATCGGTAAATAAGAATTCAAATTTTATTCAGTACTATTTGAAACGAATGAAAGAGGAAGAAGCTGAGACTCTTTTGCAATAACTTTGCTCTTCTTATGTTCTTTATACTCTCCATAAAAGTAGGAAGAAGTGCCCCAAAGAGAAAGTGCAAGGGCAACTCCTTTCTCTCCATCAAACTTCTCGTGGAAAAAGAAGACTGCGAGAACCTCTGTAATAGGGATACAAACGGCAAGAATGACACCGCTGAGCAAAGCTGATGAGTATTTAATTGTTCCCACTAAGCCCACAAGGCAGAATTGAGCTATAATGGTCGTAAAGAAAACCACAAGATAGTATTCTACCTCACCAAGCCCATAATGCTTCCCCTCTCTTGATATTGCCTGCAATTTGTAATGAAGAAATGAGTCTACCTTTGCAAAAATCTCTCTTGGTATAAAGGGGAAAAAAAACTTACTTGAAAATCCTTGTTAACCACCATTCCGATAGCACAAACAACTGTGGCAAAAAGCCCAATGACAAACTGCATCTCTATAACCAGTGCATATGTCACCTCCTGCTTTGCATGCTTGTAGAGTAGTTCTACAAGCGGCAACACTATCGCATATATAACTGCAGCTGCGAGTGTTAATACAAATCCAAGATAGTACTTGGCCTTTGATTCCCCATCGGGTCGATCACCATTTGCGTGCACGCCAAGCACTACTGCACCAAATGTCAGCAGAACCACTGCATTTACTGTAAAAGAATTGAATTTTTGCTTCACAATGAAAAAGGCGAATATTGCAGTGAAGCCGAGCTGCATCGAGATAAGGAGGGAAGCGGTGGAGACCGGAAGAAAGGAGAGACCATAGGAGTAGAGGTAGTCATCAATACCTGCATGATTAATTTAAAATAAGGGTTTTGAATATATACATATTTGTTTTATAGTTGAGCTATATTTCTAGTAGCTTTCTTATGCCTTTGCTTTCAAAACAATTGTCACACTATTTAAAAACTTTTGTAGTGAGTAGGGGTGTCAATTCGGGTCAACGGATCTAGTTCGGGTGGAACCCGAAACTGACCCGGCACTATTCGGGTCAACCCAAACCCGACACGTTTTTAAAAACGAGTCAAGTTCTCGGACACGAACCGAACCCGATTCGGGTCCAGGTCAACCCGACCCGACACGAATGACCCGAGGTTGACCCAAATTTTGCTAGTTTTCAAATCATAAATCAGGTCAATCTTTGATTTTCGGGTCAAAACGGGTCAATCTGGGTTTTCGGGTCAAATACGAGTTTTCATGTCAATTTCGGGTGATTGGATCAACTCAAATCCGACCCGATTTTTAAAACGAGTTGATTTGTTGAACCCGAACCCGACCCGTTTCTGGTCCGAGTTGACCCTAACTCGAATTTTTTTGGGTCGGATTCGGATTGTGTTTCGGGTTGTATAAAAAATTGACACCAGTGAGAATCAACTTCTTACATTTAGTCATTTAGATCTATTATAGTGAAATAACTTTTACATCAAATAATCGCAGTTAGCCGAAATTCAACTTATTTACATATACCTGTGATGAGCCCAAGGATGGCGCAGTAGAGGAAGAGGGGAGGTGTGAGCAAGAAGAGGCCGCCGGAGCTTGTGCGGCGACGGCGGAGGAAGGAGAAGAGCATGGGGAAGAGGAGGAAAGGGAAGCCAGCAGTTTGAAGGAAGCCGGAGAACCACTTGCGGTCGCCGCCATGGAGGAAATAGACTCGAAGTATAAGGGGGCTCCCGGTGCCGCCAATGAGGAGGAGAAGGATGTTGAGAGAGAGCATGATCAGTCTCTTCATTTTCGGTGTTCTGAGAGACTCCATAACAGTATTACTGTTGCTAGCGTGGAGGATGTCTTCATGGCTTTTCTGTTCTATTTCCATGGCTCTCTTCACTTGGGCTTAAGAGCTACTAGTCTTCTTCTTTGGCTCTAATCTCTATATTGGTTTTGTGAATATTGAGATGTAGAGAAAGCTATTTATAAGCTTTTTTTAAAAGCATTTTGTCTTTTGCTGTCTGGTCAAAATATGTAAGCTATTAACCATTCTGTTTCTGACATTCTGCTCTCTAATCGTGAAAAATAATTAAAGATTAGCTGAAATGGTAAAATATGGATAACTAAATTGAAAGATCACACGGCTTGGTTAAGCACTTAAGCCTAATTTATCGTCTTAAGAGTATTGCCTCTTTAAAAGGTTTGGCCTATTAAAAACTAGCTATGACTGTATTGAAAACAAAAAAGTTACAGCAACAAGAAACAATAAATTATTATCCCACCACATGCGATCAACTGCAATCATTTTTATTCATACTCTTATTAATAAGAGTCAAATTCTAATTTAAATCTAAAAATTAAAAATATTTATAATACTTTCTAATCAAATCTTTTCGGGTTACTTTCTTAACTTTTTTATTCTTAAAATAACTTTTTAGTACTAAAAAATTGTTTTAAAAAAACTTTTTAATACTTAAAACAATGCTTGAATCTAATGCATCAACTCTCCTAATCGAATCATTGATAGGTCGTTTTATGTGACCAAACCATCTAAGGCAACTCTCTCTAATTTTATTTGTCATCGATGGTACTCCAACCTTTTAATGTATAAACTTATTTCACATTCTATCTTTAAGTATAAAGTCACTAATCCACCTAAGCATGCATCATCATCTATGCAACGCTTAATTTAATTTCATGCTTGTTTTTTAATTGCCAAAATTTTGCGCCAGAAAACATTGATTGTCTTATTGTCATCTTGTAAAAGTTTCCTTTTAAGTTTTAGATTATTTTTTTATCATACGATAGCCCCGATGCATTCCTCCACTTCAACCATCCAACATGAATTCTACTAAAAGTTAGGGGTGTCAATTTTGGGTCACATGTTAGATTTGAGTCGAACTCGGAATTGACTCGACACTATTAAGGTCAACCCGAACCCGAACCCGAACCCGACCCAAAAAATGTTGAAGGCAACTTTTTCCCTTTCATGCATTGTTGTTCGACTTCGCTTCTTGGACGACATTCACTTTCAATCGGATCAGAAGTTACAACATTTTTATCGGAAGCAACGATAGGAGTTCACTCACTGTGAAGGAGTAGCCACCTCACCGATTCCTTCATTCATGTTCGACTTTGCTCCTTGGGCAGCGTTCACTTTCGGTAGGATCAGAAGTTACAACATTTTGGTTGGAAGCAACAACGGGAGTTCGCTCGTTGTGAAGGTATTTTTTTTGGGACATTTTTTGTTTTTCAGGTCAACCCGAACTTGACCCAAAATTCAAAACGAGTCGAAAATTAGGACCCAAACCCGACCTGTTTTGGGATCAAGTTGACACTAACCCGAAATTTTCGTGTCATGTTCGAGTCGAGTTTGCTGGTCATGTCAAATATTGACACCTCTACTAAAAGTAATCTATTTCATTATAGTTTTGAAGTTTGAACAGTATGCTTAGATACATGAATGAAAACAAAAAGTTAATAGAATAATTAAATGCTATTCTATATGATTAAATAATAAATATTATTAAAAAAATCGATGGATTAGAAAATTAAGGAACTTGTCAGAAATTAGCAGCCTAATTAATCAATAAATCTATTTGTTTTAATTTAATTAAATTTCTTAGCAGAAAGATAGTAGCAGTTGCTGTGGGAAGAATATTAGAATGAGAAACACAATTGGCCATTGAATTTTTTAATCGAAGAGCTCAATAATGCTTGACTGGTTTTTTGTTTTCCCAGATTATCAAAGACTCACTGCATACCTTTGTCAATGGGATTTTTTTTTTTTTAACAAAATTATGATATATTAACTAAAAAAGAAGGGGTTACAACAGCAGAAGAAAGGAAAAAAAATATAAAAAGAAGAACACCAAATAAAAGATACAGTCACAATAAAACAAAAAATAAAAATTCGAAAAAAGAGGGCTCAGAGAAGGCCGAGACCCCTAGCATCCTCGAATCCGCACAAGACCATCCAGAAAAGGTTGCCACAAGAAACAATTTCCAATCCAATCGATGAGCAATCCGGTCAAACGCAAGAAACAATCAACCTTGAAATGAATTATCTTCTTCTCCCACCTCTAGTCCAAAATTTCCCACGAGAAGCAACCGTAAGAGGTCTATCCCGAGCCAATTTAAACTCATTTCCAGGATCTAAATATGACTCATAATCAGATTCATATTCAAACGAATTAAGCAACCAATCACCATGGGACCTAACATCCAATCCGGAAATACCTCCCACCCGGTACATCATAGTTTGGGATGCCATTAAATTTACAAGAACATTAACCAAATTTTAAGAATTGCCCAACAAACCTTCCACATCCGAATTTACCACCTTTGTCAATGGGATACAACGCTTGAAGGACGACAACTTCCTCTAGTTTATTTGTGCAGAAACACCTAATAGAATAACCAGGCCAACATCAAATCTCAATGGTTTTGACAAAATATTGGATGAATTGTGCAATGCAACCATCTTCTCCAAGCTAGACTTACGAGCGGGCTATCGTAACAATTTAAACTCTTAATTATTGAGGGTTTTTTTTCTCACTTTAGTTTAATGGGCTCATAATTTTATCTCGTTGGTGTAACTTTCTAGAAGGTCATGTATCTCAGGATTTCTCCGAACGAGCACATTTACTATTTAAATTTCTTTAATAAAATTTCAACCATTGCGCCAAAAGGTATCTCTCAACGTTTAAGAGTTTAGCTTCTTTTTATCAAAAAGATTTCACAGCAATAATCAATTATGGTTGCTACAATTGTGCCTAATATTGGTTTTGAACTCATGAAAGGCACCACAAGTTCATCCTAATGCATGCCATTTGAGCCATCAATGCAACGAGGAATAATCCTGTCCGGACATCAAATGATCCGAAAAACAATCAAAACACGTCATATCATCCATCACTAAGCAAAAATAATGATGTGGTGAGTTATGGTTGGCATTCAAAAATTAACTGATGTAATGATGACAACTAGATTTACTATCTATTTTTTTTTTAGATAAATTCATATAATTATTATTAATTACTCCAAAGACTAAACTAACACTTATATTATAAATTTAAGAAAAAAAATAATTTTTTTTTTTGGGACATTTAGGCCGTTTAAGGCAAACTCACACACACAACACATACACATGGACTCGAACCTTGGACCTCTTAGTTGAAAGCCTAAGCTCTCAACCAATAGGCCAAGGGGAGTTGTGTAAATAATAATTTTATTTTCGTATTCAAATTTGACACAAGAAATGCACCAACTAAACTAAAAGATTAAAGTTGCATTCAACTACCGTTTTAAATACAAAATTGACTTAGGCTTTGTTTGTTTGAGCATTTTTTTGCTTTTTTCATTTTTAAAAACAGGATTTTTTTGTGTTATTTGGTTCATTAAATCAAGTTCCCAATAACTCTTTTGTTCATTTTTTTTCCAATAACTCTTTTTTTTGTGTTGTTTTTTCAATATTTTCTAAATAAAATGATTATCTATTGTTTCAATTCTGTGTTGAATTATGTGGCACTATAAAATTGCATACAAAATTAAAAAGGAATCATATGTCCTCCAGCTTTTTCTAAACATAAATCTATGATTGCTTGAGATTGATCGTTTTGTAAGCGGATGGCCAGGTATGATGTGATGCGATTCAAACTGACCGGAATGCTTCTTCGCACCCCTCAACATTTAGAATTGTTTGGGCTGAAAACTATTGCGCCACACTTCTAGTTGCAAGATCTTCATATGCAATCGTGCCTGAACTTTTAATTAACCTTGTTATACGAAAATTCATCGATAAATATACTGAACGCATACCTCAATATCTAAAAATGTTAGTATATGATCCTAAGACAGAAAAAAGTTAAGATTGAATGTGGAGATCCCAAAAACTAAATTAAATTTTTAACATTTCAAAGAAAAGAGGAAAATTTTAACACAAACGTTTAATGATCAAGAATCAAGATTATAATCTCGGATCATTATCCATTTTCCAACTCCTGATTCAATTTTGCTTTGGACATCGATTCAAAGGCTTAAAATGCAAGTCATCTGTTTCTTCAAAAGATTCAATCTCCCCTGACACTAAACACATATTTGATTTTTAATTAGACACGGCTATGCCAGAAATCAACCAAGATGAACGATAAATCTGACAACCACAGAAAACCCTATTAATCTTTGAGAACAGAGACAAGAAGCAAAACCCTAACCATTTTCCTAAGAGCTAGTAAACTTGGTAACCGCCTTAGTACCCTCGGAAACCGCGTGCTTGGCCAGCTCGCCGGGGAGAACAAGACGCACCGAGGTCTGGATCTCACGCGAAGTGATAGTAGGCTTCTTGTTGTACCGAGCTAGGCGGGAAGACTCCTGCGCAAGCTTCTCGAAAATATCGTTGATGAAAGAGTTCATTATGCTCATCGCCTTACTGGAGATCCCAATGTCGGGGTGAACCTGCTTCAAGACCTTGAAGATATAGATCTTGTAGGTTTCAGATGACTTCTTAGCTTTCTTCTTCTTCTTTTCACCTCCCTCCTTCGTCGGCAGCCGCTTCTCTGCCTTCGGTTTCTTCACCGCCGGACCTTTCTCCGCGACCGGCGCCTTCTTCTCTTCGGTCGCCGGTTTCTTCTCGGCTGGTTTCTTCTCCGCGGGTTTCTTTTCGGCCTTTGGCGCCATTGTCGAGAGGAATCTGAGATCTGAGGGAAACCAAAGAGAGAACAATGCGGAAAAATTTGTCGTAGGGTAGAAGCAACGAATGGTTTTATAAGAGAAAGCGAGAATTCTGATTGGTGGAATTGTATCGTAGAGGATTGATGACGTGGCATGTGATTGTCCATCCGATGTCGCAAAACATAACATCTTAAGCATGTGCCAGTTAATTTTGTTGATGATTTTTCTTTTATAATTATTAGCTATAAATTATAAAATAATTAATTTATATGCCTTATATATATAAATATAATATATATAAATATAAGGAGGATTTACATGTATATCACTTTATTTCATAATATTTAAGTATTTAATATTATAAGTCTATCACTTTATTTCGAAATATTAAGTATTTAATATCAAATGAAATGGTATGCATGTAAATCCTTCTAACTAAAATTGTAGGAATACATGAATCAATTTATTTTATTTTTTAATTTGCTAAATAAATTTTAGATTAAAATAATCTTTCTTGATCTTGACCGAGAACTATTTTTTAAGTCTGTTGCAAATAAAATTGATTCGAGTAGAACAATATTCATATAAAATTTGATCAATATTAAGATTATAAATGAGAAAATTTTGATGTATGATCCAATATTCTTTAAATTCTAATCGGATATTAATATTCATTATTCCAAAAAAAAATTCAATCAAGGTTCAAATAAGGTGTTGTCAAAAAAATTTATAAATAAATAAAATAGTTAAATGGCATGATCAAATAAAGTTCGTTCAATGCTGAGCTCTTATAGTAACCTTCCTAAGTTTGGCTTTATTGTTTTTAAGTGTGTTTTTATTGATGCTATCTATAGGCTGTTCTCCGATTTTATCATGTCAGTTAGTGGTTGGTGTAATTGTTGGATTGCTTCTAAGGATTGGATTGTATGTTTTCTGATCTTTTTTATCCTGTCTTTGGAGATGGATCAATTGAAACTTTTATTTCTATTACATTTTCTTTCATTATTTTGCTTATATTTATTTTGCTAATAGCCTAATACTATGTTTTGGCATAGTCTCTTGTTGGTTGTCTCTTTTTTGCAGTGCACGACAATCGGGCATGGCTTTTTTTTTCGACTGAAAGACTGTATTTCTTGGGCTACACTTTCATATTTCATTTTTGGATGCTTGTCTATAGCATCAGTAGATTATTATTAAGGAATTTTGTAATTGTTGGTAGATGTGAACATTGGCTCCTAGGTTGTCCTTCTATTGGTTTTGTACTCTTCTCAAGCTGGTGTTTTCCTTTTTTGTTATGTAATAAGCTTTTTATTTAACACGTAGGCCCCTCCGGGGGTTTTTATTATTAAAAAAAAAAGATCGCACTTATTAAGTAGCAAAGTATGATATAGCAGAATTAAATCACAACAACTATAACAATTAAGCAGCAATGCTAAGGATGAAATTTTAACAAGAATCCTTCTAGTAAATTAAAGTTGTTATAAGTTTTACATCAACATATTTTATAAACATAGTAAACAAAAACTTTGAACATCTAAATACAATAAAAAAAGACTACAACAATGTTATAATATTAGAAAGTGCTCAAATCTAATGACAACTATAACTTTCTTTGGGATAATTTTTTTATTGTTTTTTAAAGTAGCTTTTTTGTACATTTTTTTTTTTTGAATTAAAAATTTTTGTATTAAAAATCTATTTTAGAAAGCAGTAAGAAAGCTGTCCCAAACGAAGCAACAACATTAGGCGGTAGTTCGGCGAAGCACAGGGCGTCAGGTGGTGGTTCGACGGAGCAACATCGTTAGGCGGGGGTCCGGCGGAGCACAGCGCGTCAAGTGGTGGTCCGACGAAGCAACGCCGTTAAGCGGTGGTCCGGCGGAGCACAGAGCGTCAGGTGGTGGTCCAACAGAGCAACGACGTTAGGCGGTGGTCCAGCGAAGCACAAGGCGTAAGGTGGGGGTTCGGTGGAAGTCCGGCGTTGGTGGAGCAGTGGTGGTTCGACTGAACTCCGGTAGTGGTCCGGCGGAGCACAGAGCGTCAGGTGGTGGTTTAACAGAGCAACGACGTTAGGCGGTAGTCCAGCGAAGCACAAGGCGTAAGGTGGGGGTCCGGTGGAAGTCCAGCGTTGGTGGAGCAGTGGTGGTTCGACTGAACTCCGGTAGTGGTCCGGCGGTGGTCCGGCGAAACTCCGGTGGTGGTCGAGGAGGCTAGGAAGTAAGAGCGATATCTGATATCTCTCTTTTTTTCCTTAGGCTTAGGGTTCCTTTTTCAAGAGAGATGGAGCTCTATTTATAGATTTTAAGAATGACATGACCCGTAAATAGATGGAGGATCAAGGCAATTTGGGAGTGGTTGGATGGACGGCCGATGTTGAATCCCTTGGTCACGAACCGTTTGATGGACATTTAAATGTCTTAGTGATGTTGGAATTCAGTGATCATGGGCTCGTTGGATTCGGCTCATCGAGCCGCTCGATTCGAGTATAAGCTTGTCATGTTTGGAAACCGTTTGGTAATCCAAATTGGGGTTTGAACCTTCCAACAACGCTTCGGGTCCTTGATTTGGACCAATTTGGGCTCGGATTGGGTCTAATTTGGTGTCGTTGGATTCGTATTTTTGAGACGCTCAGTTTGACTATAAGTTTGCTGAAATCGAAGTGTGGATGCTCCTAATTTTAATCTCAGAAGTCTCCAACTTGATTTTGCCTTGAGATTTGTGCTCGACCAAGATAATTTTTTTGACGATTTATCAAATTTATTTAAATTATTGCATGTATGAGATAAAAAAGACTATATAAATCAAAATGATCCTCACTTTACCAATTTGATTTTCCACAAATAATAATTGGAGTAATATATGATTAATGATTTGAAATTGATTGTAAAATTAATTATTATCATTATTATTATAACTGATTGATGACAAAAATATAAAGGCTTCGTTTGGGGTGATTTTTTTACTACTAAAGCATCTTCATAGTACAAAAATTATAATTTTTATACTATAAAGCTACTTGAAGAAGCAGTAAGAAAGCAGTCCCAAATGAAGCCTAAATAAAATTTGGTGCAATTATATTATTTTTTTTTATAAAATAAAAGAGAACAAAGAGTACAAGAATAACACATTAATACATGTAGGGGTGTCAATTTCGGGTCGTTTTGAAATCGGGTCGGGTCCGGGTCGGGTTTTCGTGTCGTGTCAAATATTGACACCCCTAAATACATGTACCAAAAATGCACTAAAAAGATATACGTATATACTAGCAAGCATGGTAGAGGAATGGGCCGAATACCTGAAGGCAATACGTTCGAAATTTTTCCATGCCTAAGCACTTATATGTTAGGGCATCTCCAACGGAGAACTCCATTTTTCACGTCAAAATATGACAAAACTCCAAAATGTCATGGTGCTGCTCCAATCGAACGCCATTTTACGTGTTTTTGTCAAGGTAACGATCCTTTCACGCGATTCTCCCTTTCGCACAGTTCGGTTGGAGACGCTCTTAGAAACATTGCGCTACAACATTTGAGAGAAGACTTGTTGAAGCAAATCCTCTGGTTAGATGACTCAGTGGCTAATAACTCGAGAAACATTCAAAAAGACTAGCTCTCACTCTGCACCCAAACCCTAACTTGACAATTTCATCTATAAAAATGTAACACCAACCAATACTAACACTAGCAAAGTATCGTTCCCCTTATGCTTATACTATATTTATAGATATAGTGAATTTCTCACCAAATCATTTATATTTCCATACACTTTCATAAGCCACTAATATCTTTACTTTAAAAAAAAAAAAAGTTTCAAACAGAGCGGCTATCTTACATAATTCAAATAAATATTTACTCTCCAAATGTAGACTTCTTCTTGCCCAGCAGCCATCAGCATTTGTTGAAGCAAATATGATCAGCAATAGAAAGTCAACAAATCTGTCGTCACTGTTTATTATAATATTTTATGGTTATTAATTGATTATTACTTTTGCAATTTTAATCTTATTATTTTATTTTAAGTAAAACTATTCTCAACAACCGTTTGAATAAATTTTCTTTCTTTTTTTTTTTTTTGTTTGTTTGTTCGTTTGATGCATAGTTAAGTGTGAGCATCAAAGAGTACTTGACTTATATTTTTTTAATTATTATGTAAAATATTTTTATTATTACTAATTATGATTTTTCTTTTAAGTTTTTTTTTTTTTTTTATTGTGGTGTGGGAATATTATTAATAATTCTGATAAATCATCATAAGATAAAAAAGTGATTCTTTCCAATTAGATCTTGGGACACTATAATTTGGTTTCGTTTGGGATGACTTTCTTAGTGTTTCTTAAAACAGCTTTTTAATAAAAAAAAAATTAATTTAAATAATATTTTGAAACTCAAAATTTTATATTTGATGATATTTTCATTGCAAATGTAACCCTATAAATCGTTTACACATATAATACATGAATGGGAAAATTTGAGATAAGGAACATTTAAGATTGATCTTTAGTTTGGGCTCTCATTCTTGCCCCTTTTATAGTTCTCTTTTGTTTTTCAAGTTGGCTTTTTATTCTCGGTTATTTGTGCTACATCATCCTGGTTATACTTATATCTCACTATGAAGAAGGAAAAAAGTCTAGCCCTTCCATAAGAACTTTGTTTTTCATTTTTTACCTTTGATGTTAGACTGTTGACCAAGTTTCTTCACTCAAGAGGGACTATATAGGTGAAGTTTGATATTTCTTCATTGTCAACAATTTAAGCATGTAAGGGTAAAATTTTTTTCTTTTTTTTTTTAAGTTTCCATCCTATAGTGCACATTATGTTATTTTGATGAAAATACGTAAAGCAAGATAGAGTATGAGAGAGTGCGTTTATATACTAGTTAAAATATTTGCATGAAGTATGTTAAGACTTTATTTGAACCATGATCGAACATGATCCAAGATGCCAAAGAGTATGTTGTTAAATCTTTATTTGAATGATGTTTGAACATCTATTGATGAAAAAAGTGTGATTATGTCTTATTTAGGCATATAATTTGGCTTGATATCAATAATATACAATTATGCCTTCAATTCAATTACATATTGAACATAATTGACCGCAGTTCAATTATTATTCAATCATGTTTAATCAATATTTGAATTTGTTTGAATATGATTTAATTTATTTCGATCAATATTGGAAGAGTTGTTTATTTGCTAACTTATAAAGTATTTTTTTATAGGTAAATCAAGAATTAACATTCTTACATTGGTCGTAGTAGAATGGAAAGAATATGGCAATGAAGAATACCATGGAGCTTGCGCCCATCATATGGCAATGACTATTATGAAATGTAACAACCTGATAATTATTAAAATAAAATTAAAATGAGAATTCAAATCTTTGTCTGAATTAGAGCATAGCGACATATATTGTTTTTGTGGTTGCAGCGGCGTTGAGCTTATTTATGATCACAGCCTAGCCAGAAATTGTCATTGCAACATTGAAAGCTTTATTATATAGTAATTTTTGATCTAGCATGCAGCGTGGTTAAAGCATTGCAAAGCCACACATTAAAACGAGTTTTTATACATATTTTTCTCCCCACTCATTTTTTCTTCTCTCATTTTTAGTTTGCTGAATAAGAAAAGGTGCAAGAGGAGATGAAAACAAGGGGAGAGGAAAGAGAAATATGGATTTTGGTCGTTGATCTGCTTTTATGAAAATTGTTCATATCATTGTAGTTGATTTTATCATATTTTTGTTTTTAAAGATTTTGATTTCAATCATTTGATTTCTATTGAAAATAATTTTATTGCATTTTCTTCGGATTTAGTGAATTTTACCTCATAACTTTTTGTATATCGTAGTTTCGATTATTCCTAACATTTTGACCAGTTGTCTTGTAATTTCAATAGGTAAAATGTAAATTATTGTATTTTATATGATATACACTAAATAGTAATTTTGACATTTTAAGACAAGCATAATGTTAATACAAGCATTGTGAATGAATATGAGCATATATGATTGGGTTATAACTGTTTGTTATTAATTATTATTTTAATAATATGTATAAAAAACATGTAAAGACTTATTATTTACTTGCGTTGACTGGCCTGTACAAGATGGTGTGTCGACACACTTTTCTTTATAAATATTTGGTTTGGTGTTTTCATATACTGATTCACATGATTTTTGATTTAGAGTTTTAAGGGATGATTACTGTTCCAACATACAAAGAGTGACGACTTTGTTTATTGAGCTAACGATTATTAATTTACTTATTTTTGAAAAAAAAATACCACGAAAGCTAAAACTCCTTACTTGTTTAGTTTGATTATTGGGATGCATTCATTGTACTAATTTACTATCACTATGCTGTTTTATTATTATCGTATTGTGTTTCATTGTTATTATTATAGATTTTACTATTATTGATCTACTATTACCGATTCATTGTCACTATACTCCGACTAATTTAATGCTTATTAACGTATTGTTATTAAACACATGATTACTATAATTGAGCATATGATATAATATACTGATTTGATATAGAATAACTAAACATTATGTGTATACTATTATATACGATTTTCTAATAACACTACATTATTATAAATTCCGACAGTCGTCATAGATGCTTCAGTTTTACTAATTTATATTATTTCTTTATGATTGATAGCATTGCTACAACGTATGATTTAAGAATAATGGTTTAATGCTTTATTATTTTGACATTCTTATTGGGTTTATTGGTTTATATATATCATTGTTTATGTATTGAACTATTTTATCGGACTCCGTACTGTACCACTTTACTATTTTACAAGTTTTACCATTACTGTAAGTGTGTTTTATTATCTCTGCACAGATTAATGATCGTACTAATTATCACTTTTATGAACTTATTGATTACATGTATACTATTTCTTTTATGTGATTTGAGTTCGATTGTGATTTTAATATAAATATTATATTGATATTTAATCAAATAGATTGATTTTACTCTAATATTTTATTACTTAAAGAGATTAGATAACTCTAGTTGTTGTTATAAAATATAAAAGATATAATTCTTCTCAATTTAGAGTTTGAGGCATCACATGAGAGGCTTCAAAACATATATTTAACATGAGGAGTATCATTTGGCTTCCAATGTTCATAAAAGAAGCATTGAAGAAACTTATGAATAAGGGTCAAAGCATGATCATCAACCTCATTAGTAAATGTGAACGGTATGTCAATTGTGACCTTAATGAAGATGTTAATTTGGAGGAGAGGACATATACAAACAAAAAAATTTGATGTTGTGTATCGTTCATACGAACATATATGCATTGACAACAACTCGAGATCATGGTGTAGAATAGTATAATTTCTATTCAAAGTTCTATATACAAGAAGCATAATTAGATGCATACATTTAAGGAAGGATGTGGTCCTATATAAATATATTTGATGTAAAGTTAGAGGACATAATTGATCAGTTACTTGAAAGGCTAAGTGCCCATCACCTTCATAATTATTTTGTTGCATGAATCAATCATAATTCTTAAAATAATATTCCTAAATGGATGATCGTGCAATGATGTAGTGCTTGTTATTTTTATAGTGTTTCATGTTGTGATCCCTCTAAGTTGTATTAACCCTATTTGAACATATTTGAACCCTATATGATTAACCATGTTATTGTTGAATTTACTATGTTATCTGCTATATTCGCTCTCTGTTTTTGCTGGCTATATCGAACATTAAACAAACCTAATAAAATATGCAATTCAACTATTTTATAATTTTGTCCAATAACATTTATGCAAATCTTATTTGAATAATATTTGAACATTGATTGAATTTTTATTAACAACAAAGTCAAATGTTCTATTAGGATTTAAAGAAGATTCAATAATGGAATGAATTTTTTATCTCATATGATACCAACATTGATCGATATTTGTTCAAATATTATTTAAGTGTTATTATAATTAATTTGAGTTGGGACAAACTTAGTGGCCATTTGGTTGAGTGCATTTCATAGTGCAATGCATTCAAAAGATTTCAAATGTTTGATTGAGTGAATTTCAAATGCAATATGATTCGTTAGTGAATTTTGAATTCATTGTTGAATTTTAATTTCACCATCTAGCTCAATTTTGATGCATTTAAACAGTGTTACATGTGGCAATTTTTTAATGCATGATAAAGCTTAAAGTCTAAAGCTTCCGTTTGAGTAAAACTAAAATCAAATAATTTTTTTTTGTGAGACATTTAAACCAATTAAGGCAAACTCATACACATATCACATATGCAAGACTTTAACCGAAGACCTACTGGGGGATTGTAACTTTGGACAATCAAGTCATTAATAAGAGTATATGTTTTAGATATCTCGAGTCTATTGTTCAAAGGGATGCTGAATTAGATGAATATATTATTAGTATAATTCAAGTGGGATGGTTGAAGTGGTGGAATGCATATGGCCATTTGTGTGATAGAAAAGTACCTCTCAAACTTGAGGGAAAATTTTGTGAGATAGTGGAAAGACCTACAATGCCTTTATTGCGCTAAATGTTGGCCATTAAAATAGGAGCATAAAATTATGTTAAGTGTTGTATGTATGAGGATGCTTAGGTGGATGAGTGGCTTCACTCTTAGTGAGAGAATGAAAAATGAATATATACGTGAAAAAGGTTAGAGTAGCTTCAGTGGCAGATAAGGTTAGAGAGAGTCTTCTTAGATGGTTTGATCGCATAAAACGTCAGCCTTCAAATGACCCAGATAGAAGAGTAGATGCATTAGATTTGACTTATGCTAAGAAATGTAGATATAGTCCTAATAAGACTTAGTTAGAAAATATTAAAAATGATTTTTTTAATAGATTTAAATGAGAATTTGATTATTAATAGTCACAATAAAGAAAAAATGATTTATGTAAACGTCCCATGTAATGAGATAAAGACTTGTTATTGTATAAATTTATAATCATTGTTGTCGCAAGATGCTGCTAACCATCGTCTCTGTTGCTAGTCATCATTTGCCACCTTTTTCACTCATTAGCCCCCAACTGAGACCACCTGCTGGCGTCAACCCCCACCAACTATTGGTCGACACCTCTCTTTGCTTGTTGCCTGCAAGCTGCCATTATTGACCGATGCTTGACGTCATCACTATTAATATAATCTGGCACCATGCTATACGTTGGACACAACAATCCTTGAATTTCACAATATATTATTTTACTTCAAATTAAATAAAAAAATAATTACCAACAATTATTTCATATTCATTCAAATAAATTCAAGTATTTTAATACATGCATTAAAATTTACTTGTAATATTTTTTTAGCAAATTAAATAATCTTTTTCATAATGATGAGTAGCAATATTTAATTATTTATTTATCAAAAGAATTTTAAATATCTCTTTAAAAAAAATGAAGCATGTTTTTTAAAATTTATTATGTATAAAAAACCGAAGAAGAAAAGCCGAAGCGTGCCCAACGAAATGTGCCGTGCTAAAGGCGCCGCAATCATTTCTCCCCAATTCCGGATTTCAAACGCTTATCTCTCACGACTAACGCCGCGTCTGAGTCAAAACCGCCGAAGAGAGAGAAAAGGGGGAGCGGAGGAAGGCGAACTGGCGAAGCGAACACAGCAACGTCAGTAAGAGCAGAGAAACGCTCCCATCGTCTCCCTGGGTCTTACTCTCTCTACTCCTTCCTCGACTGATCAACAAACCCTCGTTGTTATCCACCTGTTCATCTCCTCTCTCGCTTCAATTCTTCTCGCCGTCTTCTTTGACCAGTCCGCATGTCCGCAATCGAGGAAATTAAGCCAAAAGAAAGATAGTCGAGGGGGCTTGAAGCTAGGTAGTTCGCGGCGAGGATTTGGATGCGGGGTGGCGATTTCTGAGTAAGAAACGGTGCGGCTGGCCAGAGGAAGTGAAAAACCCTAGATCCATCGCTCCCCCTCAACGGACGTCGAACCGACGAGGGTGGACGAGCTGCGAGGTTTTAGGGATTTTCGAGTTTATTCAGAGGATAGGAGCAAAGGACGATGATGGTGTCGAGGGGGCTTTTTGGGTGGTCACCACCCCACGTGCAGCCGCTGACGCCGGTATCAGAAGTATCGGAGCCGCCGGAGTCTCCATCTCCGTACTTGGACCCCGGCGTCGACGTGGTACCGTTGGAGGATGAAGAGCCCGTCGACGAGGTGGAGGAGATGGAGCCGCCACCTGCTGCGGTGCCGTTCTCTAGACTGTTTGCTTGCGCGGATGGATTGGATTGGTTTCTTATGGCTGTTGGAGCACTGGCTGCGGCTGCGCATGGGACGGCTCTTGTTGTGTACTTGCATTTTTTTGGGAGGTCCATCAATCTGCTTAGTCCGTCTAATTTGCGAGAGAAAAGTCCGGAGGAGGTCTTTCATGAGTATAAGCAGGCGAGTCACTTAGAGTTGCTTTTATGGAAGAGAATAATTTGTTGTCTTTTTCATAATCCCCGTAGTCTACTTTCCAGGTTTACTTAGAATTTATTCCTTCTTTATCCTGTGTTTCCTCAACTTGATTTGTTTCTGATCATTCAACTGGTGTTTGAGAATTAGAACTGGTTGGATGCTTCTGAGAACTTTCTTTTGTTTGATTTATTACATTTTGTTATTCAAGTTGAGGCTCGTATAGTAATTTTGTTGAAACAGGTTGGGGGCAATCTACAACACCCTATACTGTGTTTAGGGATCTAATTAAATTATTTTATTAAGACGCTAGTGATTGCTTTGATAAAGTGTTTTCAGTTTTTGCAGATAGACAAACAGATAAATTAGTATTTTGATTCTTGCTATTTTTTCTTAGGTTCTTTTTTATTGTAAGTAGGAGTAGAACCATTCGGATATATGCATCCCTGTTACTCAATCAGCTAATTTTGATTCCGAACATTATTTTGTATTCAAGTAGTTGGCAGTTGAGCAATCAGCACATTGGAGGATCAAAATTAGGTTTGGATTAAACAAATAATTAGCTGTTAACTTATTAGGGATTAGGGAGACTCAAAGCTTAATTAGATATTTGTTTAATAGATCAATTTGTAATTAATTAATTGACTTATCAGGCATATTTGGAAATTCTAACTAATTGCACTAACTCATGTTTGATTTCACTAATTAGGTTATTAGTGTTTAATTGAACTGTTTAGGGCTTGATTATAGTTTAATTCGAGAAAAAACCCAAATAGTCTCCCTACTATTAGTAAGTGAAAAAATTTAGTCCTAGAGTATCACAATGCTCTAATTTTATTCCAAATTATCCCATGGTCGAAATTCACCTGAAATCCCATTAACCTAAATGTTAAAGTTGAGGGTATTTTAGGTAATGAAAGTGTGTAGGAAGTTACAGTTCTTGTATTGCTTGTGTGATGTTTTGTAAGATGATTACATAAAATTACAAATATGTAATTTGATATATTTGAGTGGAATAAATGATATACACAACAACAACAACAACAACAACATCAAGCCTTTATCCCACTACGTGGGGTCGGCTACATGGATCCTTTTTCTCTATTGTGTCCTATTAAAAGTCAAATTCTCGTTTAAATCTAATAAAGAAAGGTCATTCATAATATTTTCTAACCAAGTCTTTTTAGGTCTACCCCTACCTTTCTTAATATAAGTCAAATCTAATACCTCTACTCTCCTAACCGGGTCATCGGAAGGCCGCCGTTTTATGTGAACAAACCATCTAAGGTGACTCTCTCTAATCTTATCTTCTACTGGAGCTACTCCAACCTTTTCACGTATATGCTCATTTCGTATCCTATCAGCTCTAAGGGTAAAGCCACTCATCCACCTGAGCATCCTCATCTCTGCCACACTTAACTTAGTATTATGCTTCTCTTTTAATGGCCAACATTCGACATCATAAAGCATTGCAGGCCTCACTACCATCTTATAGAATTTTCCCTTAAGTTTGAGGGGTACATTTCTATCACATAACAAGCCCGATGCATTCCTCCACTTCAACCATCCAACTTGAATTCTGCTGATAATATTCCCATCTATTTCACCATCACTCTGAACAATAGATCCAAGATATCTAAAACGTGTACTCTTATTAATGACTTGATCGCCCAAAGTCACAATCCCATCACTAGGTCTATTATTACTAAAATTACACTCCATATATTCCGTTTTAGATCTACTCAAGCGAAAACCTTTAGACTCTAAGGTTGACCTCCATAATTCAAGTTTACCTTCAACTCCCTCTCTAGTCTTATCAACAAGAAGAATATCATCAGCAAAAAGCATACACCAAGGTACATCCTCTTGCAAATGTCTAGTGAGAACATCCATGACTAAAGCAAAAAAAAT